AATAACGGTCACAAGCTGGCAGAGGGGAGATTCAGGCTAGACATCAGGAGGTGCCACTTCCCGGTCAGGGCGGCTAGGATCTGGACCCAACTTCCAAGAGAAGTGGTGCTGGCTCCTGCCCTGGGGGGCTTTAAGAGGAGGTTAGATGAACACCTTGCTGGGGTCGTTTGACCCCAGTACTCTTTCCTGCCAGGGCAGGGCGTCGGACTCAATGATCTGCTCAGGTCCCTTCTGACCCAACCAGCTACGAAACTGTGCTAACATAGCTTCCCCTTCTCCCTGGAAGTGCTGAAGCCAGCGGCAGGGGTCACGTCCACTGTTAACCCTCTCACAGCCACTGGTGAGGCACAAGCACTTGGCTGAAGGGTCATTGATCTCAGGCAGAGGGTGAGAGCTGCGGGCAGGCTGTAGTATCCTGATGAGGCTCGAGGAGTGGAAGCAACACTATTATTTACAGGGACTTCTCTAACAAACGATTTCCAGTAAAGAAATAACAGTCTTGCTACTGCCTTTGCAAGGGTCGGAGGCTTGCTTGTTTGCTGTTTTAGGAAGTTCCTGCTGCCTCCCCCAGGCTGTCCCCTGGGATGCCACACTCCCTTGAGGCCATGTTTCCAGGAGGACTTACCCTATGCCACGTGCTTGACCGTGAATCTAGAAAAAGCTTTTGGTCTCCATGGTGCCTTCCAAAAATGCAGCGCCTGTCTTCTTGGAGGGTGTGTAGTAAGCGCAATATTATGGTAGTTTAAGCAGCAGGAGAGTGCCTCCTTCCCATATGGCAGAGGCCCATGCTGCCCAGAGGAGAGGGAGCTGCGTTCCCTCCTGGTTCTTGGTCACCCTTGAATTGCAGCTCTGTACATCACCTGCTTGCACAGACTATTGTATACAAAACACTAATGCCAGCAACAAGGCCTACACTGGGTTCACAGATGCTGTCCTGGCTGCCCCGTGGTGGATTGCAGCAGCTGTCACATTTATTTAGGGGCAAGACAGGGAATACAGGTTTGGTATCAAGTTTTGCTCCATACTGCTACTCCATGAGGCCTCTCTGTGTTCAGGGTTGACCCCAGCTAGGGGTGCTCTGTGCATGGCTCTGCATGGACCATGCTGCGGTTCATGTCTGTCTCCTTCCCTAAGATAAGTGTCCTGTTCACTGCAACCTCAAAAAGGAGCACAGCTAGAGATTTTTCTCACTTCTTTCCCACAAAAGAGGCCCCATGCAAAGCATTTTGGAGAAGGCCCACCCTGGCATGGATGGGCTGTGGATGAGACCCACAGGGCATTGCAGTCTCAGGACAACCTGCTTCGGAAGGAAGGCTCCGTATCGCTTTGAATGCATCTGCCTGCATGCAAAAAAAAAAAAGGATTGCTTGGGATTGTTAAACAGGGAGAAACAATAAGCCCACTGTACAGTACAAAATTGTCCTTGCGGTGCCAGGCTGCTCAGAAATGGGTATGAATAAAACTCGCTGCTGATGCCCGAATCAATTGTGGGGTGTTTGCCGCCTTGCTGCCAGACAGCGGCACCTGTTATAGTCAGAGGCTGGGGTTCGAGCTGGGGCTGAAAGGCAGGAAGTCTGGGTCCTAATTCCTGGGTCCTAATTCCTGAGCTCCCTCAAACTAAAAAAGTCTCCTTGCTCCTTCCGCTCACGTCTGCGGTCTGCAGCGTGGCGGAGAGAGGCGCTGGGGTGAGTGCCAACCTCTGGGGAAGATGTCAGTTGCCTTTCACCAGAATCAGACCTGGGCACGTTGCGGTGTACACGCAAGTCATCCAGCAGTGGAAGAGGAAGGACCCGGAAGCGCTTCTCTCTCCCCCGTTTCCCCCACCCCATCCTCCCCTGCCCTCCGAGCTGTGGTCAGTAGCACCGACAATATCCCGAGAGCAATGGACAAGGTCTGATAGGTCTCATAACATGACACGGGCTGAGAGGAGCGCTGACTTGTATGCATGGCTTCTCAAACGCTTCTATGTCAGTGAAAACCATGTCACTCAAATGCCTGAGATACACTAAGGAGAACAGCTCTTCTTGGGAAAGATCCCACATGCTTCCTCTTTAGACGTGGTCTCTGAAAGCTCCCAGTCCACCCCTGGTGCTTCTAGTGAGGTCTTGAGCAGGCCTGATATTTCTAATGTTTTGTTTTAAAAGGACAGGTTTTGGGTGGATTGAAAAGGTATACAAACCAGTCAGGTTTTCTTCATAAAGAAGCAAGACAGGAGTATAAGGCAATTCAAGGACAGAGTTCAGTTTCCTTTGCCTTGCCAGAACCCATTAAGATACATTTTGGAGACCAGCCTGTGCACCTCCCCACCCTCCCCACTGCTTTGGTCAACCGAAGCTCCCTTTTCTGGCCACTGGTTTGCCTGCAAATTTTACTGGAAGCGGCAAAACCCAGCTTTCCCATCACCAGCAAAAAATCATCTCCCAGAATGTCACAAGCCTTCAAAAAAGCCTTCGATCTGGTATCCCATGATCACCCTTTGGCAAAACTGGCCAATTGTGGCCTTGGGTCCACCACAATCTGCTGGCTGGGAAATCGGTTCCCTGGTCGGACCCAGAGGGTGGTAATAGATGGCAGTCACTCATCATGGTGCCCTGTGACCAGTGGGGTCCCTCAAGGCTCTGTCCTTGGACTCATATTGTTCAACATCTTCATTAATGATGTGGGCATTGGAGTCAGGGCTGGCCAAGTTCACCGATGACACCAAACTTTGGGGCAAAGCATCCATGCCAGAAGACAGGTGGGTAGGACAGGCTCAGCAAATGGGCAGACAAGAACCTGATGGTGTTTAACACCAAAAAATGCAAGGCTCTCCACCTTGGGAGGAAAAACCTGCAGCATGCTTATAGGCTCGGCAGTGCTACGCTGGCTAGCACTATGGAAGAAAGAGACTTGGGGTCATCATTGACCACAAGATGAACATGAGCCTGCAATGCGATGCTGCGGCTAGTAAAGCGACCAAAACGCTGCCTTGCATCCATAGATGCTTCTCAAGCAAATCCCGGGACGTCATTCTCCCCTTGTACTCACCCTTGGTGAGTCTTGGTGCATCAAGTACAGAGCCCTAAATCAAGATCAAATTAGGTTGGGATTATGGTGCAAAATACGTCTCGGGCCACCCCACACTTCATTGTCACTGCCACTGGGGGCCTGTCCTGAAGCACCCACAGTGCAGTGCTGCCCAACCCAAAGAACGGTTTGCCTGTGCCAGGCTGCCAACCCCCCGTACCCACTGCACTAAGTATATGGGCTCAAATAGAGAACTGGATTAGGAGTGGGATTATGGGTGGAAATCCTTTCTGGGCCACCCCCACTGTGCCTCTGTACC